TTTGAACTCCTGTTATAATTCAACACATATATGAGGCAGCCAGGATTACCTAAGGCTAACAAGAAGTCAAGGTCTATGGGAGAGAGATGGTTTAAATAGAGGGCATTTCCTCTTTTTACAATCACCACCTAACTGAAAATGGCATCAGTTGGGCTTAGCTGAGCAAAGAAAGCAACTAACTGCTGGCAGTACTTGAAACTTTGGAGACTTCCTTTAGAGAGCTGTGCAAGTAAGCACCATTCCCCAGTAAATGCAGCTCTTCAATGGCTCCACCAGGGCCAGGATTTCACTCAGTCTTATAGCTCTGATTTCAGATGATCTACTGTTCAAAAACCAAGTTGATCTGCACAGCATTAGCTACCTGTCCTGCTTCTTAGGAATGTATCATAACACAAATACCTGGTTTGTACAATCAAACATCATCTGTTTGTTTGGGCTCCTCGGCCTGTCATTCACTTGCTTCTAAAAGAAATGGGATTACTCTCATAAAACAAAGGAGAACATTTCAGAGGGAAATGCTTAATCATCATGTCTCATCAAGCTAAACTCATATCAAGCGTGAACAGACACAAATACAGACACCAGAGGAGATTATTTTTAACGTTTACAAGTATCTCTTCACAATCACAAAAATCTTGGCAATGGTGAGTATCATGCCAAGGAATCAAAGTCCAATGTGAAGGCAAGTGTGCAATTCTGTGGCTGTTAACAGAAAACACTTGGTGGAAAGAAGATCAGATGACTGTGACACAGCAAATAGGTCACTGAAATCCACTGGAATTTCTGCTCCTTTATAAAAAGGATGTATCCATAGAAATCACAAAGGGACATAATCTTACCAACCACTGGAAGGGGAACAAAAAAGAAGACTGGAACTTGTGATCTCATCTCCGGGTTGTAAACGATTATAGGTTTTAGTTTCAAAGGAGTAATAAGAAGAGCTGCTGGAGATGACACACCAGTAATTTTAGCTCAGCTAAAACAGTATGTATGTGTGTCGGCACATACAAGTAGGAATTGCAGGTGAGATCTATAATACATTGCCATCATTAAAGGTCATGAACAGGAGATTTGAATCAAGATTCATCAGCCATTCGTTTGAGCCATAACCAAACCAAATACGCAGTGTAATGCACCACCTCCTCCATTCTGCATATTTTCTAAATTATAAAATACTGCGCAAAATCTATCACCAATGTCCTCTCCTAACTGCCATTATTTCAAATGCCTCCTTGAAATAACAAAAAAACTTTGACCTCAGAAAAGTCTAATTACTGTGTCTGTATATAACAAAGAAAAGCATGGCAAACCCAGACACAAATGTGGTATACCTACCTCCAAATGAACAACTTCTTTGAATATTGGTGTGAGTACCATTTATGCAACAGTAAAGCATAAAAAAACAATTAATTCACCATTAACTTTAATGATGACAGCAGCAAAAGTGACTAGAGAGCTAGAAGACATTTCTTTTCAAAAATTGTTTTGTTCTGTCTCCCTTGACATTTCTAAGAGCCCTAGCTTTATATGTCAAGACTCTAGCCATCTCATTACCCAAGTTTCTGCAACCTGTTAAGAGGCCAGGTTCTCCCTGGTATATTTGTTTTGTTCACTGGTTGTTCCATTTCATTAAAAACTAAAGACATTCTATGATGAAAGCAGAAGTACTCAGAAAAACATAACTGTAGAGACTAACTGCAACCCAACCTTATCTGCTCAACAGTGAAGTGATATTTTCTCACATTTTCTCATACTTAAAAGCAAATTTATAATATATTGCTCAACAAAAAAGTTAGCTTTCAAAGCACTTTCAGAGGAAGAGAGAGAAAAAAAAGTAGAAGTAGAAACACCACACTTTGGAGCAAGAGCACAAAAAAGGATATGTTCAGGGGAAAATACCAGAGATGAAAGCCTGGCCCAACTGAATTCCAGGATAAAATAGTCATTGGTTTCAATAGGGTCACGATCTCTGTCAAGATCTGAGTCTGGATTCACTTTTGAAGTAGGTGTGGCCTAAAAGCAGGAGGGAAGAATTAACTATAAAATAAAATATCTCTCTCTGTCTTAAACAGCCCATCGTTCATTTCATGTTACATTGCTATTGACTACAAAAAGGGTGTAAGTGGTTATGAAACCCACCTATCTAGGTACCCCCTACTTTCCATCACACTACCCTTTTTGTTATCCTTCCTTTACACATTATCATGAATTTTTGTTGTTGCTGGTGGTGAATGGCTGACAGCATTAACACAACGGCTCTGCTACACACAAGAACTGCATAAATTTTATGTCAAGTCACTTTTCATCATAAACAAACCACCATCATATATCTAGAGGCACAGGTTTGGGTATTACACTGTGAGTACACACTATATATATGCCTCAGTGCTGTATTTGTGTAAGTTCTGCTTCTGTCTTGTATACACATTCACATGCTACATGTATGTAGCATTTCTGAGTGCATAGGCACACACATGGATGTGCATAGATGCAGGAAAAGCATGAATGTGGGAGTCACAATAATGCTGCTCCTGGCTGATGGTAGTTTGTTACAGAATTTGTTTCCGTGTTAATGGATCACAGAAAAAAATCTTGTAAGGATTATTTTAATTTGTAAAACATTTGTATTCCCTACTGCATTGCAATAAAAGGAATGTGCTAACTGCCAGTCTTTTAAGAAATATGATACAATTCCTTTTACTTTTGGTTTGAAATCGGAACTAAAACACATCTGCTGCAGAATAACTGATCTGTATGGCCCTGGCAGGAGGTAAAGGCTGGGAGTCAACTCACTCCTTCTGGCTGTAATCCCTTCATGGGAATCTAGATGGGTTGCTCTATATCTTGTATCCTCTGATCATTTTCAGAAAAACATAAAGTTGCAATAAAATCACAAAATGCCCAACAAATCCATGACCTGCCAAGACTTTGAAGTCAGGAATACACCACGCAGCGCAGCCACGTCACAGCTGCAAATGGAGGCAGGATTCTGGGTATTTTGCTGAGAAAAAAAATAAAAATTACTGCCTGCATATGCTCCCAGTAAATCAGCACTCATTTAGCTACCCTAGCATAATAGGTCTTTCATAGCTCACAGGAGAGGTCATGGTACAAGAATGTTGAACAATACAACACAATCTTTTGTAGGTAAGAAACTTCAAGGTAGGAGGTGTAAGTTGTAGCAACAACAGAAACCTCAGAGGAGATCATCAGAAAATCATTAACATGGTTTTTTCAAAAGAATGTGCACAATTGACAACATTTTCAACACAGACATATATTTCTAAATCCTCTGGTGTCCTGTTTCCTATGCATTATACACACATACACAAACCTCAGATTTTGGTTTTGTTTCATTAACTCCATATTTCTGCTACTTAAAATTACCCAAAGCATTATGATCACATCATTCATACATTCATTTATTTGGAATAATTCCCAATAAAGGGACTTTCAGAGAAGTAGCTTAATGTTGAATACAATTTCTTGCGCATTATATTTTTTATATTTAATATACCACTTGATGGTTTGTTAAACTGTCTGATTTGATGTTTGTTATAAACATTCACTGTGTTGAAATCCCAAATAAACAACAAGCATACGACTCTTTTCCACAGAGTATATGCTTTATCTTATCTGTTGCTTTTCTTTGAACTCCCTCTTTCTTAGTGTGAATATACCAAAATAAGATAATACTCAAATATTTTTTATTAGAAAATGGATGATTTAATATAGTATTGCATGCTTATTTTGATTTCCTGAAGCCCAATTCAGCTAATATCCCAGGTGAATTGGATGAAGCTGCAACTGGCTACCACCAACAAGGGCAAGAACTTCAACAGACAATTGCAGACAAAGGTCTGTTGCCTAGCATCCTGCAGCATCCAGAAGAAAAGTGGAGCAGCAGATCAGACTTTGATCATGAGAATATTGCTGAGGCAAGTGGACCCAAAACTTTCTGCAGTCACCTTCAGGGACAGGCAAGGCAAACACAGTTACTGGGCATCAAATAGTGCCCCTCTTCACTCACTTCTCTAAAAATCTGTCACTCCATGAGACCATCAGGAAGGAGCAGAGAAGGAAGTGACATGAGTTTCAGTAATGAATCAATGCCAGGAAAGAGTCATTGGAAATTCAACTCTGTAGGAACTGAATGCTTTGCCTCAGTCACAAAATGCATTCAAATTCATGTCTTCATTTCAGTTTCTTCCTCTTCATTGCCTTCCAAGAAACTCCAGGGGCCAAAGCAGGAGAACACTGGTTCCAGGGAGGCTGCTGGCTGTCCAGACAGACATGCAGGCTGTTCACACCTCTCTAAAAGGTATCTCATTCATATAATATTTCAAATTAAACTGTTTCAGACAAAAATGAGTTCACTAATTTTCATCACCGAGTCATATTTTTTATTTTGCAATTCCAAAGACATGTGGGTCCTTCTCCCCCATCCCCACCGTCTTTTATCTTGAAAATTCCCAGTTCTTTGAGTGTGATGTCATGATGTGTTGCCATGAAAATTTGACTTAAAATTATAAGCGCTAAATTAGAACTTCTTCATATGGTAAAAGATCATACAGAGAGGGATAGCAATTTAAACAAAGATCTTCTATAATTAGTGATAATAACAAAGGAAATATTCATAATTACATCAAAGGATTCTTCACTGAGTATTGTTTTCATTTGCTTCCTGAGGGAGCACAGAGTTCTCTGAAAAGATAACACTCTTTTAGGCAGATAAATAAAGGAAGGCCATCTAGAGAATCCAATTTCAAACCAAAGCCTGAAAAAGACTCAGAAAGAGGACATTCTCTTATTGATGTGATTACATGCCAGGCATCAGTACACTGCTAGGTATGCAGTGCTGATAAGTCTGCAGTATGTAAACACCTTTTCAGATGAACATGACCCACAACACCATAGCTACCTGGGGCATCTGTCTCCACATACATGAGGCATAGCCTGGGGATTAATTTCATCCCCTAACGTAAACAGGACTAATTTTTTTTAAGTACAGATAGCTAAAAATAGACAAGAGTAATGTTATGCAATAAAACCTGTTATATGTTTCCCCTTTCCAGATGAGGGAATCTGACACAGCTTCAGATAGAAAGAGGCAGCAGTCTGACCAGAACACAAAATATATTATTCATTTCATTTCCTACCAGAGAGATAGCATTTGAACCTTCCATATATTAAAGATGTATGCCCACTATCATATCATTTCAATGGCCTAAATATTAAATTTTGATCAAAAATTCACAACACTTCTGCCCTTCCCTGGAAAAAAAAATAGGTCAAAAATAAATGGAAACAAACTGTTTTCTGCCCCTTTTTATGCACTTGACAGAGAGAAAAAAAATGAGGAGATAAATCTGCATAATACTGAACCGAATCTCTTTAATTCCAGTCAGCTTTTATCATTCAATCACTGAGTCTGTATGTGGAAAAATTCATGCTAATTCCCCCTAGCAACAGCCGCAGCCTATCCGGGGGAGCCCCGCACCAGGCAGCTGCCAGCCAGCAAGAATAACTCTAAGTAGGTCAGCCCTGCATTTCTAAAAATGCCACGGTCTAGTAACCCCACTGTCCCGTCTGTCTGCCCTGCCCCATAATAACCTCGATCTCTCGGTGACACAATGACATACTACCCTGTTAGAGTGCAATCAAATCTCGCTGCATTATTCTGCTACGAGCATCGCTGCTGGATGAAGGACCCATCGAGGGGCAGCATTAATCAGGCAGCCATTCATGTCCACTAGCACTTCACTCTGGAGATGGGGCCTGCATTAATGACCAGCTGTTTGAACTAACACAAACAAAATAATGCCTTCCACCCTGTTGGCTGCGCAGAATACACTATTCTAATCAGTCAGGTTATGCTCATTGACTAAACCTAAGATGTAAATTAAACAGCCCCAGACAATGCCAGCTTTTGTAACCTTCTATTAATTAAAGTGAGTATATTTAAATTATACTACACACAATTCAAAGAGCTATTGGTTTAATATACAGAGTCACCTCCTCCTACAAATTTGTATTCACAGTCAAAAAAAACAACCACAACCAAAAACCACCCACCCCACCGTTTGCGTAAGACAATCTACCTATCCTGGTAAATTAAAGAGCAACTACAACAGAGCTTAACTGCAAGTGACTTCTGCTGGGAGCAGGGAACCACACCAGACTTCCAGCAATTGGGCGACAGGAGCACTGACAGACATGCACACTGGATGTGGTGGAGGGGTATTGTAAACATATTCCAGCCATGACACAGAGAAAAGCCAGTCGCAGCAGATTAAGCACCCCCTGCAATCTCACTGCTTAAGCACTGCCGAGTTGCCTTCACGACCTAAAAATAATTGCAGAGGTCAGAAAGCCCCTTGGTGGGATATGGGCATGTGTCTTTAAGAGCTCATAGCTGCGCCCATCCCTCCTACTTCCCACAGCTCTGGGGATTTCTGCATGGCTGCAAGATGCTGCACGAAGCCCTGTCCCTCCCCCCTTGCTCTTAACCAGAGAAGCCTTAATATAAACCATACTAGAGCCCAGCCAGTCTTCTCTGGGGTGGTATTTTGGTATCAAATCTGTAATGCCAGAACAGAATTTCATCAAGCTTGCTTTATGTTTAATTATACCCTTCCTCTAAACACCTTCTTGCTAGCTTGCTGGTCTCTTCCTTCAGAGCATGCCTCCATGCCATGTAGCTGCCTGTACAGGACAGAGCTTGGAAAGACATTTTCAAGGATAGATTGTTCGTCTGCATTTTTTTCTGAAAGATTTGCACTTTCGGTGAATGTCTTGCCCTATAACAAACTGATAATTCAGTCTTCACCGCTGCAGAATTCAGCAAGCCTTGTGCATGTAATCCATCCACATCTGATTTTGGAACACAGCAGATTCATTAATCCATTTTGCTCTTTCTTGTTTGAACCAGGCTTGTTAACCAGGTTTTGAGAGTCTTCCTTTGCTTTGTGGCACACATCACATAGCTATTCTTGGAGAGATACAGTCACTGACGTAACCGTGGGCTCCTAATTACAAGCTGCTGACATTTTGCTCATCTCTGCAGCTTTGAAGCTGTGAGTTAAGAGTCTCTCCTCCCCCCTCCTTTCTTGCTTTAAGCTGCCTGAATTAGAAGAACATGACAATTTCAGAAAGGTATAGGCAGTGGCATAAACTCCTTTGCAGAGCCTGCCGTATTGCCAAAGTTATTTTTCTTTAAGCAAACAGAAAACTACAGTTTGGGAGTAATAAGACTCCTTTGCCCCCAGCACAAGAATGTTATCCAACAGCTGGCTAAATATAATCCAACACCGAGGGCTGCCTTTGTAGGCTGGGGAACAAATAGTGGAAGGACCAGACAGGCGTCTTGCAGGGTAGCTCACCATGACTATTGGAAAATCCCCTCGTAGATATTTTAGGTTGACATTATGGTCTATGGCTTTGTATAAAAGGGAAAAAAAGGAAAGGGAAAAAACCCTCTTTCTCGGTATGCAGCTGCTAGCAGCCATGCCCAGCCTTGCTAGCTGACTGCAGCACTTGTTTCCCCTATTTCTGCATTGTTCAGATATGGCCAAGTCGAGTTGCCTACCAAATGAAAAATGCCTGTACCGTGACAAGTCTACCTGCCCTAAAAACACGGTCTTCCCCATGCAGGTTTGGCAGTAAAAAATACACCCAGCTACATTTCACAGAAATTGATTCCCAAATGTAAGCATTGCCTTTTCGCAATATATGAAGAATCTTTTTCAATTAGAGGCTGATTTTTAAAATCTAAAAAAAAAAAAGAAAAAGAAAAAATGCAAATATAACACTGAATATAAATGCTCAGTTGAGGATTTAGTCATCTGATGCCTGTGGTAGCCAGCTGGTCTAGAAGTCATCTGGGATGCATTTATTTTGATTAGATTGATCACATTTCTATTTACAGTATAGAATTTTTCACCATACTGAATACAGCTGTGTTTATAGAGATTTTAAGATGGAGAAAACGAAACCCCATGGTTTTTCTCAGCACAGTGCAGAAGATTCAGTGCTTTAAGGTGTTAAGCAGAAAGGATCCGCTTTCACATTTCTTAAAAGAATACTGCCTACCATCTGTTTTCACAAAGTGCCACCTCAGTCAGGAAATGGGTGTAGAGCTATAGCTGAAAATACAAGCTGCAATCAGGTCTGACCCAGCAAAGTGACAAACGTCCTCTGTAAATTGGTCAGAAATGTCTTGCTTTCATTTCCATACATGTTCACACATGCACAAAAGCACATACATACACAGATATACATGGAGTGAGTGGCTGCTGTTTTCCCTGGGGATATTCCTGCAGCCATCTAACTCATCAGTTCACTCCTTGACAGCACCAGGAGTGTTCAAGCTACGATTTACAGTCCCTCGGTCCATACATTGCTTTGTTAATCAAGCCATCCTCTCTGCAATGAGAATCCACAGAATCAGACAAACGGCACGTAGTGTTTCTTCTTCCTTTGCATTTGCATTTGCTCGCTCTCTCCTTCTCCCTTGGTTTTGCCTTATCAGGCAGATGCAACCGATACCTTATTTATCCGTCTCCAGCACAACACTGAGGTGAAACCTGACTGCAGCACTGTGGCTTCCCCATGTTAATCCTCTGGAGCAGCAGAGGCTGGATTCTTGTTGCTGATGCCCTTGTCGAGCACTGGATTACTTTACATAATATTTCTTTAAGCTTTCACCCACCCCATCCTAGATTAACACCCTTCTTTTCTCTTCCTTCTCCCCCACCAAAGAAAATCCCAAAATCATCACATATCGCAACCCTTTGCTTCCAGAGCCAACAAAAAAAAAATGCGGCTCCATCGTTCTTCTTCCTTAGCAATGTGCAGACGAGAGAGTTTCAAGTCAGTCAAGCCAGGGTGAAGCGCAGGCAGCAAGACTGCAGCAGCCCCAGCAGCAGCAGAAAGAGCAGCAGCCGCCCAGGTAAATGCAGGGAAAAGCACGCTGTGTCGAAAGCGGTGCAGCATCGTAGCTGTAAGGAAAGACAGTATCGCTTCTTCCGAACGGTGCAGCTTTATGCCTGCAGGAACGGAGAAAAGGGAAGACCCAGAATTAAAAATTAAAGCCAAAACAGTTAAGAAGAAACAATAACTATAATAAATTATCGTAACTTTATTTTTTCTGGGTTTTGGGGCTTTCTGGGAGGCTGTGTCTTTTCCTCTCCCTCCCCAAAGTCTCCTGTGTTGCTGGATGCTACTGTCCAAGAGTGCGGAGTCACAAAGGCTCACTCTCCAAAGCACAGTGAGACCAGCATCACATGAGAAACCACATGACGCACCCAAATCGGATGCTGATGTGGTCCACTATTTCACTCGGGGGGAAAAAAATCTCAACTGAAACATCTCCCTCTTTACTGGTTAGAAAAATTCCCCCTAAAAAAAAAAAAAAGAAAAAGAAAAAGCCCCCCAAAAAAATATCTCCATATCTATCCATCTTCAATGCCAATGCTTCAGGAGGCAGGAGAATGCTGTTCCACAGACACTAGCTGGATGGCAGCAATATTACTTCCAGGCTGCGTTATTCAAAGTGATTCTACTTAAGTGAATTCCTGAAAAGCATACTCCATGTCTCCCTAACATGAACAGACTCAGAAAACCATCTCCATTATCATTCCCTGCAATCTGTATCCAAACCTGTGTTCTGAATAATTTATTTTAGGCTAATAAGCTGTTTGCCAAGACCACTCCTTTTCCCACTCAGTCCCACACTCAACAAGCGACTACAGCAAGAAACACAGAGGCATTTACGGTTTCCTTAACTGGTAATTTTAGTGAATGCACTGTCCCACAAAATAATCAGGAAAAATGAGCAGAAGGGTTTTTTCCTCATGTATGGACACAACAGGGCTCTCTCTGGTTTGCAGATGGTGTCAATGTTTTCCTGATATTGCCGACTCAAATGCCTTCAGTCCAAGTCAAGAAGCAAACATTCTTGCCTGCCGATTCCTGCAGAGGTGTTGTGCCACACTGTTTAACACGCAGAAACATCTGGACACCCCTGTCAGCCCCTGAATAAGAGCGTGCAGCTCTGCAATGCTGTTAACTGTCAGGGCACCAAGCAGTTAACATCTTGGCTGCTTTACCATCTTGCTTTACCTATAGGAGCATGGAACCGAGGGACTGGTTCGCTCAAGAAACAAAAGCAAAAAAGCTGACCTTGATGATCGATGGAATTGCTGCTCACAAAGTTATCATCCAACAAACAGCGGTTTGTAGCTTGTTTTACGCCTAACATTTGTTCAAGTGACAGAGCAGGTGGCACAGTGTCTTCCATCCCCTTTGTTTGCAAAAGCTGGGCACCACCTCGTGACGCTGCACTCCCTGGCTCTTTACACTGAAACTGTATGCGGTGTCAGGGAAATGTAGGAAGAGAGCTGCTGTGAATCTGCACAGCTGTTTTGCACAGGATCCCACTGCAATGTCCGAAGTTACATAATGGAGATCAAGCACAGAATTCCCACAGAACAGAGATGCTTAGCCAGCCCTTACACAGGGACGTGCCATCGGAGCAAAATCCAAGTGCTCTTTCATGCCGATTTCAACCTTCCCAACTGTTCACGCAATAGCAGATTGCAAAAATTTGCACAAGGCAGTTTTAACTTCTTCTTATTGGCTCCTCTCAGAAAGAGGTTTTTTCAGTGGGCTGCACCCAGGAGTTGCCTAAATTCCACGTAAAATCCAGTTGTAGCATTCAGTCTCAGCATGCTGTTAGTATTCAGGGGAGCCACAGGATTGCATGGACAGAAATCACAAGATTACCACAGTCATCCCAGGGCATTTTCACCTGTGGGGCTAATAATTTCAATACTGGCGAGTCTTTACTGGAAAACGGTATTGGTAAACCAAAACTCTGACTACAGCTAACCAATATAATACTCTATTTTCAGATGGAGTGTCAGCTAATATGGAGAATCCAGGTTATAGATGACTTTCTTGATCCAAAAGACGAACATTAGTGAGTCAGGAACTGAGTGCAGCAAAATATGCATCTTCAGGGCTCCGGAATACAAGATAAGAGGAGCAGTCCTGGTGACCAGTCCCATTTTTTTAACCTATATCATAATAACATGACTCTGACTGGCTTCTAGTCTGTTCTCATTAGTTTCTAAGACAGATTTGCAGCAGTTCTTGACTCTGTGAGCTGATGATCTTTCCCACTTGATACCAGTACCTCATTTATCTGTTCTGACCTAGAGCTATGTTGGTTGGAAGGGTCATCTGGAGGTAACTTAGTGAAACCTCTGGATATCATCAACATTCCATCAGGTCAACTGCGACTTCATCCTGAAAACCCTCAGAGATGGAGATTCTGTAATTTTTCTAGTGCTGCACTTCCCTCCCTGGGAAAATAAATGTGCAGGAAATAAGTGTTCTTTCTGTATTTACTACATAGGCAGCCTTCCCTCCACTACTGTATTGCACACATTTTCCTAGATCTGACACTAAAAGAAAAGTGAGGGAGTCAAGGAATGACTAATTTTCTTACTAATTTAACCAAGTTCAGCTCAAATTACTAACTCCTGATCATCATTTAATCTCTAAATGCTTCCAGTTCAACTATTAGTCAAACCACTAAAACCCTAGTGAACACCCTGATAACAATTCCAGCACTCTAACACGTGTTACTTATGAGAAACAGCAGGAAAAACAAAGATTATATAAATAGGAAATCTGAACTATACTCAGAAGTCTGAAATAGGGCTGAACTGACATGGTACATGGAGGATGCTGGTTTATTCAGAATAAACAAGATATCTTTTTCAAACAGACCTGAAAAAGGCCCTAAAGTATCTGTAAAAACTTTTTCAGAAGTTTATGAAAAACCTCCTATGCAGGTACCTGATGTACAAACCTTTAAGCAGTACCCAGAGATACACAGTCACGTTAGGTGTAAATGTAGAGGGAGAGAGGGAAAGAGATAAGAATTACAAAGAGAAAGACCAGTAATAATTCCTTCAGAAGTGTAAAAGACTTAGGTGAAGAAAGACTTTATGTGCGAGACAGCCCTATGCACCTAGTGCTTACAAATCTAATTCTTATGCTTTGGATAACCTCCCCACTAACTTTTTGTTAAGAGTATGGGTAACTTTCATCCCTTTCCAAATCTCCAACACAGTTACTTTATTAGATAGTGTTAGTTCTCAAAGTAATTCATTGGCAGACTCTAGATTAACCCGTCTAAAATTACTTTCTCAGTTTAGCTCCATAGCACATATTTTTTGCCTCCATACAGAGAATGGAGAAGTAGGAAGTTGTCCAAACAGAACAACTGAGGGTACAGGTAAGAATTTTTGGTGGATAACATTACTTCCTGAGTTCACATGAAAGCTTTTAGACTGGAACACACAGAAATTATTTTGGATGCTGCCTTGAGAGGTCATCAATACAAATTTTTCTAACATCAGTTTCGTGTCAGCATTTGAAGATTTGTTCTCAAACACTTGATCACAAATCCTGCTCCATATTAGTGCAGCTTTGTGCTGCCTCAGGGATACACTAGCTACCTTGGATTTGACGTAACTGTCCGCAGGGGACAGGCTTTGGAGCAAAGATTTAGCAGCTGAGTAGACTTTAGACAAAAATGAAGAATTAGAGTAATATAGAGAGAGCCCAAAATAATCTTAATCTATGACTCCTTAAAGGCTACTGAATTCTGTAGTGTGATTTTTCAAACATTTTTCAACCAAATACTTCTTTGTATAGTTAATTTTCTGCTTGGTAGAGTACTCCAATGCAACATGGATTCCTGCAAGACCGATGCACTGAACATCATGGAAAATGAAACTTTGGATCCCAGCACCAAGATAGTTGCAGTGTTACAGAGAACGAGAGCTAAATTCCTTTCAACACCAGATGAGTGTTAGGATTCAAAAGAGGAAAGCAACCCAGGCACCTCTAGGGCATCAGCTTTTCCTTCTGGGAAAAGTCCATTTGGGGTCTTCCTCCCGAAGTCAAAGGAAGCAGAACTTCACGTTAGTTAAGCATAGCACAGGCACTGCAGAGACTAGACAGAAGTAACAGAACAAACCATAAATTTAACTTTTTGCTTATTATAGCCAAAAATTGCCATCCTTGTGTAGCACTAAACAGTGCCACCTAGGAAGTAGGAACTGAAAAATAGTAGAAACTTGGAGAAATGTTATAGTTTCAATTGAAGCAGAATGCCACTAGTACACTTGTACATATCAGTAAAATGTGGACTTACTAATTTTGATTGGAACATATAATTGCAAGGAATGGTCCATTTGAATACTTGATGGTTCTTAGCAAGTATCAGTCTTTGAGGTTCATTTTTCAATGACCTTTCCCTTTGTAATCTGCAGATAGAGAAAGCATTATCATTAGGCTTGAGGTTGCAGCCTAAAAGCCAGGCAAAACTTGACGTTTCACTGAACTTGAAACCTCAAAGTGAACCTCAAGTGTGCAAAGCTTGTGGACTCAAATCAAAACAAACATATGTCAGTGAACAAAAACCACAGAGCTGCACATGGATCTAAGTACTAAGCCATGCTGGCTGCTGGCCAATGCGTGAAGTGCCCTACACTTTGCACAAAATACCAGTAGATGTTTAGTGACCACAGGGTATGTCTAGACACACACTGCCATAGTTTAGAGACACTTAAGTCAATGTCATCTGAGAGCTCGAGTCCAAAAGCAGTTTGTCTATGTTGTACCCCTTCAGTAAGGTAAGATATCCTTTTTGTGTGACCACAGCTCAACTCCTTTGGCACATGATGGGCTTTCTCAAAGCCATCTCCTGACATTGTCACGCTGTATGGCTCCTGGAATGAAGACCTAACTACTGCCTCATAAAAAAGTTATGCTTTGGTTGTCCAAACAGTTAAAAAATAACCATGATTCCACCTTTTCAGTAGAATGCAACTGCTTCTGCCTTGTCAGTACAGAGACCTTCATCACAAGAAACTGGTGAAGTACCACAGTTCTTCACTTTTCTCTTGCAGTCATCTGAAACCAGATCAATTTATTTGTATTCACTGATTATTCAATACTACTCCTAGAAGAATTTCCCACATGAATTCTGATGTGTGATGGACGGTTTATTGCAATCAAGTTTATTGCGAGGTTTCAGCTATTTCAGGTGATAACACTGATCACATATGCTTGTATTCCCCAGATCTTTAATCTTGTTTGAGAATCTGTTTCCAATGTGATTTGAATGCTATGTTTAAAATTTGAATGTTTTCTCAATATTCACCCATGTTTGATTGTTGTATGCTA